AATTTCCTGAAGGTGATCCAGCAATTGATTTTGGACACTGCAGTCTGAAGGCTAGGTTAGGCTGGGTGGGATGCCTTCCTTTGAAGAGGAAAAGAAGCGTAAGCAGTAGAGATTAGGTCCAGCATTGAGCCTAAGAGGTTTGTGTTTGTTTTGAAGTGCCTGCACTTCACTGTGATGCCTGCTCCCCACTGTTTCCACAGCAAGTTCCAGGCAGAGAATGTCTGCTTGAGACTCATGTCCATTTCCAGGACCAACTTTCCAGCAGAAATGATGGAAACCTCTAGAGGAGCTCTTTGGTATCTGAAAGGCCAGTTGCCACAGGCTGAAGCTTCTGTTATACTATGGGCATAATGTGATTTGCAAATGCCTGACACAGCAAAGAACCATTTGTTGTCTATTTAATTCACCAGTTCAGTCTGTCGACATGTTTGATGAGGCTTCCTAGTCCCCTGGTTCTTTCCTGAAGCTCTCCTGCTATATCCCAACCCCTGTGCTGGGTGTCTGCCAGCCCCATGTTTTCCACTGCGGACTCTTTGCTGTCATTCATGGTCCAGAGGCAGATCCTGACTTCACCCTTTCCCATCTGTATCTTTAGCAAAGTCTCTGGAGTCTTTTTCTCACCGTCAGTGAAAATGAAGTGATGTGAACCTGAAAGTGGAAGATACTGCCCAGAAATTTGAGATCAGCACAAGCCAGGCAAATTAAAAGCAGTTGCCAGCGCTTTTGAGTAGAAGACAGGAGAGGATACGGGACCAGAAGTGTTTTCTGTACGAGTTACTCCTCATTCTGTGGCAATTTCTGCATGCCACTTGTAGAATTAAGACCCACGGTCCAGCCAGTGTCTTCGTGGAGCCTGTGCATCCCTGCTCCTTGCCGGCCATTCCTTCACCATGAAATGAAAAGAAGTCCTCCCGTCACCTCACCAAAGGGGTCAGGATACCCCATTCTCCTCCTACGTGGAGCCACTCTGCTCTCCCACTTCAGGGCGATGAGGCAGGATTAATAATTGTGATCAATGTGTTTCTTGTTTCCAGATACAGTGTACCAGAAAGTATTTTGTGAGTGTGATATATGAGTCACTGTGGGATGCAGCAGCATTTTTTGGCCTTGCAGTTATGGAGGTGCAGTATTCATCTTCTCTCAGCCCATAAAACATGCAGCCCAGGGACATGATGAATATGTTTTGCAGAAGCTCAAGTGGAAACTCCAGGGAAGTACCTTGAAAGTGTTTCTAAACAAGAAGACATTCGTTTTGTTAGTTATACAAAGCAAGACAAACCTTCCAGACCTCCTTACTCCTCCTTCCCCTGCCCCTCCTCACTTTCCTGGCTGACTTCCAAAGTCTCTAAAGAGAGGATTGATTGAGGGCTGGTATTTTCTCAAGCCCCTGTTTTTACCTTTGGAGTACCCAGGTTAATCACAACCTGTGCCAGTATCTAGCAAATTGATCAGAAAGTCATATCTGGGCATCCAGAGGACACAGACCAAGGGAAAACCAAGGGGCAGGGGGTTTGGGAGCCAAGCACTCTGCAAGAAGTGTCTCATCTTCTGGCTGTGCAGGGGGGGAACTTGTCTGGTGCTATCCGATGAATTAACCCCCACTCATAATTCATCCCATGTCTTGCACTTGTCCCCTGATCTGTTTATCAAACCTGTTGGTCCTGCTGCTGCCCAAAGACTGTATTAAATTGGTTCATCAATCATCTGGCTGCCAGCCACAGTCTTGCCAGAGAAAGGAAGCAGCGAATGAATGGAAGTACTGTAAAACTCCAGAGATAACATCATTTTGATTAGGAAAAGTGCTTACTTCTGCAGCCACTTTTAAGGCTGTTAGAATAGCTGTTTGTATTCCTTAATAGTTAATTTAAGGCGCTTAGCTTGAAGAGGCTGTAGTGAATCAAGTCCTTTGTTAGGAAGGCATTTGGACCTTCATTCTTCCACCAGTCCCAGCTGCATCAATCATGATGGACTAGTTAATACCACATAGGATTCAGCTTTGCTCATCAGGGCAAAGAAGTAATAAAAAGCCAGTACTGCTTTAGTGATCCCAGAGCTGAGCCTGTGAAGAGGAACTCCCAGAAATCCATTTCCAGGCTCGATACGGATGCCAGATGAGCACACAAGACATTTCTTGTTCTCATATCCCACATGGGGTTTTGCTACAGCACAGGTATTCCTGGCATGGAAGCCCCAGAATGTCACTTCTCTGTGTCAGGCATCGAATGGGCTGGATAATAGAATCACAGAATGATTTGGTTTGGGTTGGAAGGGACCTTAAAGATCATCCAGTTCCAACCCCTTGTCATGGGGGTTGCCAAAACCGAGGGATTTCTTCAACGTGCACAGGGGTACCAAAGACCTGATCCCTGTTTAAAAAAGCCCAAACAAGGCAAGAAAAAAAGCGCTTATTCGTTGCCAGATGTTAACCTATTAAAACTGGCCTCGGTTGCATTTTGTGTAGCAACTGTTTTCCAGATCTGTTTAGCTTAAACCTGCAGAAATGCTGCAATTTGCATACAGCGACTCTGGGCAGGAAGGGGAAGGTTTTGCTAATTAGGGGATAGCAACAAAGCATTTTCTTAGTGATAAGCAAGTCCTTCCAGACGAGTCTGACACTGATGGAGGGGGCTTCTGCGTGGATGATTTCTCCATCACAATGGAAACCTTTCTGAAAGGAATAAAGGAGGAATATAAGATTGTCCTTCTCATGTGCCCGTACCAATGCACTCTACATCCAGAATTGGATGTAGGAGAGATTTGATTTTGCCAAATGTGACAAAACATGCATCGGGTTAAAGGGAAAAGCCCCACATTCAGATTAGGTACTTTGCTGGAAACTAGGACTTCAGTGAAAGCCTGGGCCTGTTCCGCCAGCAGAAGATACTCACTATAGGTCTAATCCTTTCACAAATGTCATCAGAGAGCTCATCAAGAATAAAAGCTGTTCTCTGTGAGCAGGTACGTCACTAGGTTGAAGATACTATAGAAAAAAATGGTCTATTAGTGCTTGACAAATCAGCCTTCTGAATCCCTTTGGGTCACTCGTCATTTTGGGAAGATCTGACCTCTTTTATTGAATCCAATCAAGGCATACTGCCAACTTTTCAGATTATTTGACATTTTGGTTAATGGTTCCTTTTCCCTTTGAGTTTCCATCTGTTTTTCAGTGAAAAAATGCTGTTTTGAAACGGCACAAAGTTTCATTTCCAAGAGGTCAACCCAAAATGTTGCCCAATTTTTCATCGCGTAACGTGACATTTCAGAAATGTCAAATTGAAATGCTCCAACATTTTCAAACTTTCCCTCCATTTTGAGGTGTGAAACTGTTTACCACACTCTATCCAAAAGCCCAAATAGCTTCATGTGCATTTACCTTCATCTGACAAATCCAGCCTAACTTCAGTGTATAGCAGCCTCTCTGCTCAAGCCTGTTCTTGATGCTGCAATGGCTAGCAGATGCTTGGAGAGCTGAATGACCAAGTCATTATAAAGCTTTCTTTGTTTTCCTTGGCATAACTCTTAAGCCACCCTAACAAGTACATCCATGATGCCTAAAGCTCCTGGGGTTTTTGTGGGAAGGGCTCTTTTTTGAGTATTTGGAGGTCCCAGACAAGAAGCTCATGAAATCCATGGTCACTAACCGGTCATCCTTTGCAAAGTGAGTACCCAGCTAAACTAGAGGACACGGCAGTAGGTGTATAAACACCTGGGAGGTGTTTAGATGTTGCTGTTTTGACATGATCATTTTCCCCCTGCCTGCAGCCTAGTCTCTCTCTCAATACATATTGCTTGACATGGTTTCTGCCTGAAACATTTATAAGGCATTATGCTTAAAAAATGAGGTTGATGAATGAGAAGAGACGGTTCTCCTAATAAAGTCATTGATAGGAAGGCCAGAAGCCTTTTTTTCAGCGGGAAAGCTTGTCATTTGGCTGCTGTAAATTGCTCTAAGTAGCAAGATAGCAAAATAAAAGACATAAATAGAGCAATAGGTGACAGTGAAGCAGAAAACGTCCCAGGACATTGAGCATTTGTTGGGAAATACAATTAAAGCATTATGAATTCCTCACTCATTGTTGCAAGGGAACAAGGACTGTCTCAGAACTTACAGGGCTCATATGCTTCTACAAGACATTTCTGGTAAGTGACAGATCTGTTACTGCCTGCTGAGTGATCCCGCTGATATCATACCCTTGTCTATAAAAAGGACATCCTCCTTTCATCATATTGCGAGGCTGAGACCCCCTGAAATGGCATTAAGTGGTCTTGGCAATGGGTGGATCAGTCTTGTCCAATTTTAGCTTGCCTTTTCCTGTTTTGATCAGGGGGGTTGCTTTTGTCTTGGAGGCATAAGGCGGGATGTGTTAGAAGAACCAGTATTTGAATACTTCTCAAACTCCAGATGTAGTTTTGTGCAGGGGCCATCCTGTTGATGTCCGTGTGACTGTGGGATCATCACAGGAGACATCCATCAGTGAGGAAGTGACTCTTTCTGTGTTCATTGACAGCTGTACTAACAGATACAGTAACTCTATGAGGTTTGTTGTGCTCAAGCCAAAAAGCCTGACAAACTACATTGGGAACTCCAGCTGATCAGATTGAATTCAAGGCACCTGCTTGGGTACTCAAAGCTACATAGAAGTTGTGATATGATTGCCAGAGCTTTGGATTTGTCTTCTGAGCTACTGGCAAGAGATGCAAAAGCCACTTCAAAAAACACCATCAAAATGGAAACTCCTCTTTTCTAAGCTTGTGTGTCAACCCTCTGATAATCAAGGGAACTGCCCTGCTTGTATGAGTAAGTGTTCATCTGAATTAAGGCTAAAAGAGTGTCTACTAGCTCTGGTTTCCTAGCTCATTCAACTAAACAAGTCCCTGATCTCCAACCAGTTCACTGTCATATCCCAGGACCACGTTTCAGCCAAGAAATGAGCATCACATCTTCATTTCCAGGGGAAACAAGTAAATACGTTGCCTTGTTGTTGTTGTGTATCTTGCAGACAAACAAAGCAGTAGCCAAGGGGGACTTCCACCATGCAAGCTCCAGCTCCCGGCGAGCGCTCTTCCTGGCTGTCCTGTCCATCACAATCGGAACTGGCATCTACGTTGGGGTGGCCGTGGCTCTTATTGCCTATTTGTCCAAAAACAATCATTTATGAGCCTCAGGAAAGGGGGAGAACCAGCCACCCGGCACCTGCACTGCAGAACCCCCCCAGCAGATCAGACTGCATGACTTTCCACAAAGATGAAGAGACAAACACCTTCTGGGGGCAGGTACAGGATAACGTGGGCTTGTGCATTATTGTAGGGTGGGAAGCTGGCTGGGGGGATAGTTCCGCAGTCTGTGATGCACAAGTCTTGCTTCTCTTCATGACCCCCCCCCCCATACAAGAGAAAACAGAAGGAAAGAGAGAAAGAAAAGGAAAAGAAAGAAAAAAAAGGAAAAAGGAAAAGGAAGTTGGGGGAGGTGTGGAGAGGGGTGTTTGCCTTTTCCTTCTTTGCAATACGGTGTTTACAAGCAGCTGGCAAACTGAGCTGTTCTCTCAATACCTTTTTGGGGACCTGAACTTTGCAGCCAGCATGAGCTTGTGCTTAGTTTGCTTGTTAAGCACTGCACTGAGAGCTGGGAAAGCCTGGACGGTGGCCGGCAGTGTAACAACAGGAAGAAGAATATGTTCTCTTTTGTTTTGAACGCAGGACTTACTTGCCTAAGAGTGAAGCAGAGACCTCAGCGTAGAATGGCATTGCCTACTCTTCCTGTGTGGGTAGGTTTCCATGGAAGGAGAAAAGGAAATAAAAAAAAAGTATTCTTTTCTTTCCTTTCCTTGTTTTTGGATTAAGATGTGACCCACAGGCCCACCCAGTGCAGAGCAGCTGAGGTTGCTGCATGACTTGGCTCCGCAGACTGAGGGTGAAGTCGAAGTAGCATGAGATCCATTGTAAAACGAATTCCTCCATCCGGTCCTATCGTGATAACGGCACATTCCTGTGGCATATTGCTCACCTGGGTTGCTCTGTCTTACCATGGAGACCTGCGTAGCAGTGCAAGAAACCTGGGAGGGGGGGTGGGTGGGCAGGGGGGAAATGCAAACTGAAATACTAATAAATTACGGTAAAGCATGGGAATTAACCAGGGGAAGGAACGCTTCATACATTTCTGGGGTCCTGCTCGCACGCGGAGCAGGGAAGGAGACCACTCAGATCACAAGCTCACAGCTCGTCCGTGGACCAGGGACACAGCATAGCCATGGAGAGACAAGGTTGTCCCTCGATAAGCGGCGCAGTGGTACGCTGTAAGGAAACCGAGCACTGTCCTTACTCCACTGACTGAAATGACACCATTATGTTCTTCCCCACAATCAACCTTTTATTTATTTCTTTTTTGCCTTACAGATGTACTATTTCATCCCACCAAGGGTGTATCAGCATAAATGTATGTGTATCTCCATATACATATATACAGAGACAGAAGCTGATCAAAACAATAAGCATTTTATGGTTCACTGCCTTGTGTTTTACAAACATTTCTTTACCCAAGAATGTCTCAAAGACCTTTATTTTCCAACTCTGTATTGTGTGTCAGCTTTGCTCTGGGGCAGGATTTTTCTCCTGTTTTGGGGTTGGCATCATTTTGGGTTTGATTTGACTTTTTTCTTTTAATTTTAAGGGGGGAGGAGGACACACACATCCAAAACTATTTTTCTGCTAGTTATACAGTTTATTAAAATACATGGTACACAGCTGCTGATGCTCCGTGTGACACTTTTCTTTGGATGGATGTGAAGCATTAGGCTTGAATGAAACTTACCTCAGTACCCCAAGTTCAGCTACACGGAGAAGTATCCGTATGGAGCATCCCATACTGTACCTGGACCCAAAGACCTGTTGCAGTCACTGGCAGTACTTTTGCATTGATATGTTTGGCTTCAGACTAAGCCTGGAGACTAGCAATGTACTTACTGCTAGTCATCTAGGGAGACTGAGATGTGACATCAGGCAGGAGTTCTTCCCTGTGAGGGTGCTGAGATCCTGGCACAGGGTGCCCAGAGAAGCTGTGGCTGCCCCATCCCTAGCAGTGTTCAAGGCCAGGTTGGACACAGGGGCTTGGAGCAACCTGCTCTAGTGGAAGGTGTCCCTGCCCGTGGCAGGGGTTGGAACTGGATGAGCTTTAAGGTCCCTTCCAACCCAAACCAGTCTGGGATTCTATGATTCCTAGAATAAATGTGCCATGTGTTCAGGCAAATCTGACATCTGCCTTACCCGGATGACATTGACATTTCTGAGTAATGCCATGGTGTACGTACCTGTATGAACTAGGAAATCACAGTCAGATAGAGAGATCTCCATAAATTGCTATAGCAATTAGTCCTGCTGTTTAAAGCCATACCGTTCAAGAGTGGTTATGAAATGCTGTAAGAAATTATTGAGCTAAAACACCCATTATTCATTGTTGGCTGCTTGTTGCTGATGGTTCTTCTCTGTAACTCCTCCTTTGGGAAAGAAAGGGATGTGTAACCAGGGAGGAGAGACAGGGATACTACATCTACTGTGAACAGTGAATTAGAAGAAGTCAGGAGGAAGTACTGACAGTTAAAGATAGACCCTTGAAAGCTTCCTTCTCTACAGATGGACACCAAGAAAATGCCTTTGGGTGCTTTCCTTTTTCAAGCAGCTTTTTGAAACTGAGTTGGTGTACCTGTCATTCCAGCTTGAACTTACCCCTTAAACCTACCTGTTATTCAGAAGCCATTGCTGCTTGTATGCTCTCTCCATGCCTAAAGGATACTTTATTTTTAACGAGCATCACTTTTGGGGTAGCAGAGTGCTCTGCCCTCCTGTGTTTGCACACAGGGCGATCCTGTTTAGTTTACCGGCTTCACAGAGAGAATAGAGAGAATAAACTAGGTTGGAAAAGACCTTTAAGATCATCAAGTCCAAAAGTCAGTCAGTCTCTCAAAGGCTACAGCTGCCTCATTACTTCCCTCCCTTCCTGAAGTGAGACTTTCTAAACAGGTCTCACCCAGGAGACCTGAGACTCCTCAATCAGGAAATGTCAAAGAAGCGGCACTGGTATCTTTACCAATGACAAACTGTAGTGAGAGCTAAGATCTACTATGAGGAGAAATACCGAACTGTGAAGTCCAGGGTCGGAAGGCTCCAGCTTAATCATGGGATGTAGGATGCCATTGTGGATTAACCTCAAAAGATACATGAGGAGTTCTGGAGACTCACTGATGGGGAAAGAAAAAACCCTCTTTGTGAACGCCTCAGAGCTCGGGAGAACAGAGAGATGCTCAGCAAATAATGTGCTGGGTTAGAGACTAATTACACATTACATCTGCTATCTGACGGGATTTCATAACCCTCTGATACCTCCACTGATTCTCAGTGCCTTCATTTGGGAATCTTCCTAGCCTTGAGCATTTTTTATCTCTCTCAGCCTGAAATGAATGTCTCCCATGCTCCACACAACACCCACCATCTGGCTAGCTTGCATGAGCTCCCTGCTGAGGCAGGGAGAGGGCATAGCGAGGCTGCTTGGGAGCATCACTGTAACCCAAGGCTGGAAGAGATGCGGGCAGACACCAGCCTGCCTGCCCGTGGCAGTGCAACCCCTTTCTCTGGGCTGGCTGCCATGCACCCTCCCTCCAAGACTTGGGGAATGCCATGTGGGGAGCTCCACAGGCAGCCAACAACCATCAACTCCTTTATAATCTCCTCTTCATTTCCTCCTGCATCACTGCGTACAGTGATGGCTGGAGGGTGTTTCTAACCCGAGGGACTTGTTCATTCAGTAACCACTTTTGATGGAACTTGGCAGAGGGAGTGGACATATTTAATACAACTAAGTGCCTGTAAACCTCACAGTAAGGAGCAGTGCAACAGCAGAGTTGTACCCAATCGCTGTGCCCAGAGGAAGGGCACAAAGAGCGAGGACACTGGGCAGTAGACATCAGAAAACACACACTTAGGCTGCTGAAAGCCCCAGCCAGCAGTGGAGCTTCGGTCAGCGTGCACGACAGCCCATAATACGCACAGGGTCTGCAGGAGAACAGGTTTCATCAGTCTCAGAGCTCACTACACTTGGCTGTTAGCAACAGAAGATGAACATTAGCAGAAGGGCTGCACCTAGGAGACCTTGTTACATTCCAGGTTTCCTCAGGGCCAGATGCGGTCCAAATAGCCTAGTCCTGGGCTCAGACAACTTCAAATCCAAAACAAGGGGCAGAGATGATGGACAACAAGAACAGTGCCACTTTTCCCAGCTAAACTAATCCAGGCCTTGAAAAGCATCCTAAGCAGCCTAAAAGCATCCTCTGCTTTCTGTATCAGGCCAGCACAAAAGATGCTGTGGGGTGGTTCCTCAGGCAGCCTGGTCACTGCAGCCCATGGTTCCACTTCCCTTGTGCAGCACAGAACATTGGGTTTTACTTCAGACATCATGGGCAGGAGTCAGTGTTACAGACACAAGGATCACTGCTGTGTCAAAGGAATGAAAGCAGGAGGTGCCAACAGTGTTGCAGTCTATGGTGATACGGTGAGGACATCATATGTCTTCGGTTTGCTGATCATGAGGCAGCTCTGGTGACCCTGCTTGCCTACAATGGTCAGAAGGTAGGAGCTACTCCACTTCATGCCATCACATTTCCTTCCTTGGACATGTCCAAGTGTACTTATGCAGACTGCTGTAGCCATTTCAGGGCAGTGGCTGTCTGGGGAAGGAAGCAGGGGGGTGGCAAAGAGTTGTGGGAGACTGACTTTATGAGGTGGGAAACAGGAGAGAATCTGTAATTTACCCCATCCAATCTACCATCACACTATCTTGCTGGGGTCAAAACTCCCCCTCTCTACTGGCTTGCCTGACCAGTAGCAGGCTGTGCTTGTGCAAAGGTGAAGCATCAGAAGTGATGCACCAGGTGGGTTACAGCAGCTTTCCCTTCCCAACACAAGGTTAAGTATTCCCATACCTCTCGAATTCAATTTGTCCTTCCAGAAAACTCAGAGGTGTTCCCTCTCTTTCAGAATCATGTCATTTTTTAGTGCCATATACGTACAGAAACGTGCATAAATACATATGCATACATATACAGGTGTCTGTGTGCGTATATACACATACATGAATATGTGAAATACAGTACAGAAAGACTAAGAGGAATCAACTGACTTGTTCTCCATTAAGGAGAATGCTGCTGTGGATTTCAACACAAAACAAACAGAACAATAGTGATCAATAATGATGTATGAAATGGGTAACAGATCACGAGAGCTACGCTTTGCTGCTTCCCTGCTCTCTGCTTTGGAGTCAGCTGTTTGCCAGGGTTTTAATCCCTGTCACCTTTGTCAATGCGTCTTTTGTTAGCATTGGGTGGAGGCAAGCTGATGGTTGTGTATGGAAGCGGTACTGCCACATCCTTAGCAGCACGCTGCCCACTGTTTTGCAGAAGAAGGGACCCAGCCCCTAGGACAGCAGGTCTTCACCCGAATTGGCCATGGATTTCTTCTACGATAAGCCTTAATAGATTCTATACTGCCCTCCAGGGACTGGCAGTTCATCTCAGTCATCTACCAACCTTTGAAACCATCCTCTTTAGAGATCTGCAATCGCTAGGAATTAGGGACGGTGGTCTGCATGTAGGACCATAGAATACATAAGGTTTGCAGGGACTTCTGAAGGTCTTCACTCTGGCCTCTTGCTCGGTGCCCTCTGCTTCAGCCCCCAGCCAGCTCAGTATCTTCCACTGGACTTAACTCTAGTTCCTTCCTCTGCCTCTTATGCTGGGGAGTCCCAAACTGGGTGAGATCTCATCAGTCCCA